TAAAGGTATATCCTTTATCTGCATTGAGTTCAATAATGCGAAAAACCAAAATTACTGCCTAATTTGAACTGTCAAATTACCGAGAAATCATGAACAAATGGGAATAAATTAAACCCACTTAGCAATAAATGTATGAAGTGAACGCGAAAAGGTATTCAATGCTAAAATACTGTGCGTAGCCGGTTTTGGACCGGTCAGGTTATTTTTTTAAAGCACGGCCGAAGGCCGCCAGTACAGAAAGAAGAAAGAACCCTGAACACCCCTGTGTTGGATCGACCAGGATTATTTTTTTGAAGCGCGGCCGAAGGCCGCTAGTACGTAAAGGAATGAAATTCTAAGATACTGTGGAGGAAAAGGTGTTCAATGCTAAAATACTGTGGATGGTGTTGGACCGGCCAAGGTTATTTTTTAAAGCTCGGCCGAAAGATAGATACAATTAAATATGTATATACATTGCACTGAAACATTTTGGCTTTCTTTATTTTGATTTCTTGTCCATACAAAAATGTTGGCTGGGTTGCATTGGTTTCAGTTTGTATGGAAAAATGAGCAAAAACACTGATTTTTGGTCATTTTCAAAGGCTTCCCTGCAGGTACATAGGGGCTCTAGGGGGTCGAGGGGGGGTTTATTAAAAAGTTCGATCCTTCCTCTTTCCAATAAAGGGTCGGGAGGGGGGGTAGCCCGACCCTGTTACTTATATATATACTTACTTAACAATCCCCCGCCTTAATTTTGTTCGTCTATCAGGGCTATTAGTAACTAATCATTTCTATCTTGTAATAGTGTGAACAGCTTATAAGATTATAACATAATATGTACCTCTAATAAATGTTTCAACTACAACACTGAAACCAGCTGATTTGTGAAATTTCGTAAAAATTGTTATCAACAAATTGCATTGATAAACAAATTAATTTGTAAATATATCACCAAACATTGTTAGATCAAAATGTTGACTGCCAAAATAGGTAAAATTGGCAAAGTGCTTATATGTGGTATGAAAGGTGTTGGCAAAACGGCATTGTTGGAGCAACTAATTTATGGGAATGTCAATATGGATACGGTAAGTGTAATTATCCAACTCACATATTTTTATACAAACCTTTAGTTTTTCCAATACAATTTAGGAATTACATCCCACTATAGAAGATATATATGTTGCTAGTGTGGATACAGGACGCGGTGGAGCACGTGAGACTCTTCGAATTTACGACAGCGCAGGACTACAGGGAAAGGGACAACTGCCACGCCACTATCTTTATTTTCCAGATGGTTATGTACTGGTGTATGATCCAACAGATCCTAGTAGTTTAGATATGTTAGCAGATATTAAAACCGATATCGATCGTAATAAGGAGAAAAAAGATAATGTAGCAATAATCGTTTTGGCTAATATGCGTGCACGCAGCAGACGTGATTCACCGGCATCGCCATCCATTCAAGTAACGCAGCCACAATCACAGCAACAGCAACCCGATCCAGTGGAGTCTGTATTGAATCGTGCAAATAGTTGGTGCGCACGTGAACGTATTAAACATTACACTGTAAATGCCATGGAACGTCCATCTTTGTATGAACCATTTATATCATTGTGCGCTCGTTTACATCCGCCACCGACAAAGAGCAGTTTCCCACAATTGCGTCAGGTAATGCAGAAAACTCAGAAAAATGATAGCTAGGACGGGGAATCGGATGGCGGTGGTGATAATATGCTATGGTGTATTACAGGCTGCCAGCGTACCGGCAGTGGTGGTGATGGCCAGTAAGTTATTATACAACATAATAGCAGTATCGAAATTGTATTAAAACTGTTTAAAAATTAATATTGCATATTACAGTAATCTTGACTTTTACTACTTACTATAATTAGTACTTAAATAAATTATGTATAAAATTTCTTCATACGAAATTATGGCTGTTAAATTAATTAGCAGTGCAATATAAAAAATTAAAACAAGTAAAGAAAATGTTTTGTTTTATCATGTACTCTGATAAGGTTTGTGTTTTTTTTCTAAATGGAATCGGATTTAATTAGATTAAATTTAATACATCAATATTTAGTAAAGTTAATAAGCCGCTTCGATACAATTGCAACGGCGGGGATATATTAAATGCAACCATGTGAAGCATCTACTCTGCCGCTTGTTTTATTCAACTTCATTCCATCTGTCATATTTCATTGTGGAAATTTGTCTGCAACTTGCAAAATTTTAATCTCGTGGAAAGTAATTTGTAGCTGGTAAAACTCAAAAAATATTAATAAAAGTATTAAAAATATTGTGTTAACGCAAAGGACTATGTCCAAAGAAGAAGTAAAAGCTGAAGTAATGGAAGCTAACGACAATTCTGTGAGTAGAAAACCATCGCTTAAAAATGTGTGCATGAATCTCGCTTGCCCGTACTTATACATACATATATATATTTATATATACATGTACATATGTGTTTTGTCGGAACAAGCACCGCCGCTAGTATGGCATTTGTTTGACGATACGAACAGCTGGAAATGCCGGGCCACATGCTACAAAAAAAAAAAACGCGGCAAATTATATTTTTTTGCTAACATGTAATATCTTATAGAATGAAACCACCTCAGAGGCAACAACTTCGTCTGCTGAAAAGGAAGTAGATTTCGACAACAAGATCGAAAATGATAGAGGCAAACGATTTGATTTTTTGCTTAAACAAACGGAAATCTTCACGCATTTTATGACAAATAGTAATAAAAGCCCAACGAAGCCTAAAGGACGACCAAAAAAGAACAAAGAAAAAGAGAAGGAAAAGGATGGGAATGCGGAGTAAGTAAATTTCAGTAAAAAAGGGATAGTTATTAATTAAAAAAAAAAATCGTTTATAGCCATCGTCACCGAAAGACTGAGCAGGAAGAAGATGAGGAACTTTTGGCCGAAGATACACAATCGAAAGAACTTTTCCGTTTCGAAAGTTCGCCCAGTTACATTAAAAATGGCGAAATGCGCGATTATCAAGTACGTGGCTTAAACTGGATGATATCGCTGTATGAAAACGGTATAAACGGTATATTGGCCGATGAAATGGGTTTGGGTAAAACTTTACAAACGATTTCTTTGCTTGGCTATCTGAAACATTTTAAGTAAGTTCACCTGTAATAATGCCGAAAAATTAACCGTAACTTAACCATCTAAAATCTTGTAGAAATCAAGCTGGCCCACATATTGTTGTTGTACCCAAATCAACTTTGCAAAATTGGGTTAACGAATTCAAAAAGTGGTGCCCTTCATTACGCGCTGTCTGTCTCATTGGTGACCAAGATGCACGTAACACATTCATACGTGATGTACTTTTGCCAGGCGAATGGGATGTTTGCGTCACCTCTTACGAAATGTGTATACGCGAAAAATCTGTTTTCAAGAAATTTAATTGGCGTTATATGGTTATTGATGAAGCACATCGTATCAAAAACGAAAAATCTAAGCTCTCAGAAATTCTGCGTGAGTTTAAAACAGCCAACCGTCTGCTTATCACTGGCACACCATTACAGAATAACTTGCACGAGTTGTGGGCTTTGTTGAATTTCTTGCTGCCGGATGTCTTCAATTCGTCCGAAGATTTTGATGAATGGTTCAATACAAACACTTGCCTAGGCGACGACGCGCTCATAACACGCTTACATGCAGTGTTGAAACCATTTTTGTTGCGTCGTCTCAAAGCCGAGGTGGAACGCCGTCTTAAGCCCAAGAAAGAAATAAAAATATTTCTCGGACTTTCAAAGATGCAGCGTGAATGGTACACAAAAGTATTGATGAAAGATATTGATGTTGTGAATGGTGCGGGTAAATTGGAGAAAATGCGTCTACAAAATATTTTGATGCAATTACGAAAATGCACTAACCACCCTTATCTCTTTGACGGTGCCGAACCAGGCCCACCGTATACCACAGACACGCATTTAGTTTATAACTCTGGCAAAATGGTCATACTTGATAAATTATTGCCCAAGTTGCAAGCACAAGGTTCACGTGTACTTATATTCTCCCAAATGACACGCATGTTGGATATACTCGAGGATTACTGTTTATGGCGTAATTATCAGTATTGTCGTTTGGACGGCCAAACTCCACACGAGGATCGTAACAGACAAATACAAGAATATAATATGGACAATAGTTCCAAATTTATTTTTATGCTTTCCACACGCGCTGGTGGTTTGGGTATCAATTTAGCTACTGCTGATGTGGTTATCATTTATGATTCGGACTGGAATCCTCAAATGGACTTACAGGCAAGTGGTGCTAAATTGTTAATTTGTTACAGTGTAAATGTAATGTATAGTGTTTTTTTTTGATCTACTTTATATAGGCTATGGACCGTGCGCATCGTATCGGTCAAAAGAAGCAGGTGCGTGTCTTCCGTTTCATCACCGAAAATACGGTAGAGGAAAAGATTGTGGAGCGCGCTGAAGTTAAGTTGCGTCTCGACAAATTGGTTATACAACAAGGACGTCTGGTGGACAATAGAACGGCTCAGTTGAACAAAGACGAAATGCTAAATATCATTCGTTTCGGCGCAAACCATGTCTTCGCCTCTAAAGACTCTGAATTAACTGATGAAGACATTGACACTATTTTGGAGCGTGGTGAAGCCAAGACTGCCGAAGAAAAGGCTAAACTAGATCAATTAGGCGAAGGCTCTTTACGTACATTCACCGTTGACACTGGCGGTGGTGAGGGCGGTTCGACTTCTGTATATCAGTTTGAGGGTGAAGATTATCGAGAAAAGCAGAAATTAAATGCGTTGGGAAATTGGATCGAACCACCAAAGCGTGAACGTAAAGCGAATTATGCTGTAGATGCATATTTCCGAGAAGCTCTTCGTGTTTCTGAACCAAAAGCACCGAAAGCGCCACGCCCACCAAAACAACCAATAGTGCAAGATTTTCAATTCTTTCCGCCACGTCTTTTCGAGCTGCTCGATCAGGAGATTTACTATTTCCGAAAAACAGTAGGCTATAAAGTGCCGAAAAACCCTGAGTTGGGTTCGGAGGCAACTAAAATGCAACGAGAAGAACAACGTAAAATTGATGAAGCCGAGCCACTGAGCGAGGAAGAGATTGCCGAGAAGGAATCACTTCTAACACAAGGATTCACAACGTGGACTAAACGTGATTTTAATCAGTTCATTAAAGCGAACGAGAAATACGGCCGTGATGATATAGAAAATATTGCTAAAGATGTGGAAGGCAAAACACCTGAGGAAGTAATTGAATATAATGCAGTATTTTGGGAGCGTTGTCATGAGTTGCAGGATATTGAAAGAATTATGGGTCAAATTGAGCGAGGCGAAGCAAAAATACAACGAAGACTATCAATCAAAAAAGCGTTAGATCAAAAGGTGAGATGAAGAGAAAGCGAAAACTATTTAAAGAAGTATACATTGAAACATTTTTTCAGATGTCACGTTATCGTGCACCATTCCATCAATTACGCCTGCAATATGGCAACAACAAGGGCAAAAATTATGTAGAACGCGAAGATCGCTTCTTGGTTTGCATGCTGCACAAACTCGGCTTTGACAAGGAAAATGTCTATGAGGAGTTACGTGACGCTATACGGTAAGTAATGAACCTGAAATTGTCAATATTTGGATTTAACCCCTTTTGATTTGCAGCTCATCACCAGAGTTTCGCTTCGATTGGTTTATAAAATCTCGTACAGCACTTGAACTACAGCGTCGTTGCAACACGCTTATAACACTCATTGAGCGCGAGAATATCGAACTTGAAGAAAAAGAACGTCAAGAGAAAAAGAAGAAGGCTGCTAAGAACTCGACAGGCGCGAGTACAACAAGTGCACCGCCGGCTAAGGCAAATCAGAAGCGCAAATCCGAAGCAATGCCCGTTGAAAAGAACGCCAAAAAGAAGAAAAAATAGATTTAAAGTATGCTACATAGCATATATTACAAGCTACATCATAATTATACAAAATATAACCAGCCGCTCTTAGAATGGTAGCAGATTCGTTGATGTAGCGACCATATATTTTATAAATTATTAACTATTTGATTGGAGAGGAGATCGTCGTACGCAACATTATCAATATATCACTCTAACCATATTTCTTATATTCATTTACTCATTGATCATGATCAGCAGCTAAAATAACTTATCAGCAGCCGGAAACTAGTAAGCATATATATACTCAAATATACTACTGAAATCCACTAATTTAAGTAAATTTACATTTGTATGCTAATTTTAATGCTATTGCACCATAGAGATAAAATTGCTTTAGTTGCTTCACTTGATGTCTTGTTCGATTTCAACAATTTCTAGTAAGCGTACATAATGACCATAAATATAAACTTTTCAGGTTATTTAGTAAATGTCTCTTTATATTTCATGGGATTCAAATTATGGGTTGAACAGCAATGCAACTTAAAAAATGTTAGTAACTTGCAGTAACTGTAAGGTGTACAGTTAAATGTCACTTCATTTTTATATTGACGTTGCCAATCACTTTTATTGGTCACTCCTGTAAGCTATTAGAGAGTGTTGTGTGGGTTTATGCGACCGCAGTGACTTTATTAAAATTAAGAATACAAATTTCCAAATGTATTTCTAATATTACATTTTATTTGGTCTATATAATCTTCGCGAAACTACTTAATGTCCCTATGGTACTGTACTTAATACTTAAGTGGTGAATAAAGCTATCAAAAATACATAACAAAATGCTTTCAAACTTACTGTATGTGTGTATCTAAAACAATATTTACACACAGGTTTAGGAATGATTTATCATATATTTTCTTCTTTGGTAATGTTTTTACTTCTAAAAAGTGTGAATTAAAAGTAGTAGAAAACATTTTCCACAAGTCAATGCAAGATGGCATCTAAGTAAACTACATTATTTAATTATATTAGTCTTAAGTATATTTTGTTATACGGTCATTTAA